CCGAGGTTGTGGGGTGGTGCACTTGCACTCCAAGTTGCTGGGTGGTAAATGTTCTCCCGGGTCAGAAGCTTGGAGGAGCGAGCCACAGCTGGGCAGTGGAGCCAGAAGGGCTGCAGATGCATAGGAGCATCCTGAGGGTGTTGGCGGCCCTGCTGCTCGGCTGGTGGAGGGCAGGGCTCATCTCAGGCCCCCTGTGTTCAGTAGACATTCAGGTATCCTGACAGCGAGGATGCCCGAGGCTACAAGGCAGTCTGAAGGCCTGAAGCACAGGACACACTGGGCCTGGGCACCGGGGGAAGCTCTAGATCCCAGGCTCCAGTGCTTGGGCAGCATCAGCCTGGGAAGAGTCAGGGGCAGCCAGGGAGCCAGATGCGAGTCTCTGGGAAGGGAGAGGCTTGGCACTGTGGGGGCACGATGCCTTGATGCAGTGAAACCCAGCAGTCCAGCTTTAATGACATGATCTCAAGCCAGTGAACCTTGGGTTCCCTTAACCTCAGGCTTGGTTTGGTTTGGTTTGGAGTTTGGTTTGGTTTTGTTTGTCTTTTTGTCTTCTTGAGACAAGGTCTCTTTGTGCAGTTCAGGCTGACCTTGAACTCACTTTGTAGCCTAAGTTGGTCTCCAACTCTCAGTGATCCTCCTTCCTCAGCCTCCTGAGTGCTGGGATTACAAGTGTGTGCCACCACACCTGACCATGGTTTGGTTTTTAAGAGTAAGACATTTTTTTGGAGAAAAGGAATGGGGACTAGGAATCGCTCCTGAAAGACAAACAGATTGCCAATAAACCCACTGCGCAAAGGAAGTTTCTTAGAGGAAAAGCATGAGACAGGTATAAGATGGATCAAAATTATGACCAACCAGTAAGATTACAAGTATAGTAACAGGTAATGTTGGTCTACTGGTGGCAGTGGCATATGGATGATGTGCTTAGCCCTGGCTGATAACCTAGTCTTATTTTTTTGTCTTATTCTTAGTGGGTAAGAGAGGATGGCCCAGCCCTAGTGACACAACAAGAAATCCCAGGCTTCTGTTGACCCCTTAGGGAAGCATGCGGGTCAGGGCCGTGTGACTTTAACCTCCCTCAGCCGCACCTCCAGCCTGGCTTTCAGTGTGCTACCAGCTGCTGCACTCGCTGCCTCAGAGCCTATCCCTGTGTGACTGCCTAGACTATTTCTACCCAGCCTCGCTGACTGTAATACTGTGGATAGGGGAGAAAGGGGTGGAGCTTTCATTTAGCTGCTTCCAGCTGGAATCTCAGGGGTTTTTTTAATCTGTAAAAGCAAGACAATAACGGTACCTTACGATGGGCATGCTGTGATAGTTTATCTCTGCAGAACTCTTCTTTAACACAGTTGCTCTGGGTCAGGGTCAGACTGGTAGAAAAGTTATCTTGAGATGGAACCCTATTCGCTTCTGGCGAGTGTCTTTGCATCCCTCAGGCCCCCAACTTAGGTTAGAATTGGCCCCCAAGACTGGTACATGGAGGTCGCTCAGGCCTAAGACAGTAGAAGCAAAGCACACCACTTTGGAGAACATTGCTATAAAAGAAAGATGGTTTTAGTTTTTTTCTGAGTCTCTAGGACCCTAAATAAGCCTATATAAGGTGAGTTTCGAACAAAGGTCATGTCATATGCTTCATCTTGTGCTCTCATCTACCTACAAAATATGTTAGAGGATCTTAAATATAAGAGAATTGGAAGGGACTGCAAAAGTTACCCAATGTAACCATCCTTCTGGTGTAATAATCTTTCTATAAGAATCAGCCACTGTTGGGGCTGGGGAGATAGCTCTGCCGTCTAAGCTCCTGCCTGGCAAGGTCAAGGACCCAGGATCCATCTCCAGTACCACGTGCCATTCCAGCCCCAGAACCTCAGGCATGCCATGCCAGCCACCAAAACTAGATGTGGTGGTACATGATTATAATCCCAGCACTTGGGAAGCTGAAACAGGAGGATCACTATGCGTCTGAACTGTGTGGCGAGACCCTGTATCAAAACCAGTAAATAAATATATTTTCCCATTCTGATCTTCTCCAAAGCTGTACCAGGAGGAGCTAAAGCGATTCATTTTCCATTGTTTTCATTATAAAAATGAAGGCACAGACCATAATAAAGAAGCGGGGAGAAAACAGAGATTGAGGTATACGGAACAGGAGCACTGCTCCTACTCACAACTTGGTAATCAGTTGATAAATAGCTTCATTTGACAATATTGTTTTAACTCCCGTGTGACTCCTGGGGTTCAGAAAGTAGATCTGGAGGATTACCAATAATGCAACGCACAGGTGGTCCCCAAATCTCCTTTTACCATTCAATTATCAGAGTCACACAGAGTGGTAAATTAGATGAAGCAGGTGGGAGTACTTGGTGAGCGTAATTTCAGGTGAAGGCGCTTAGTGTGTCTCATGATATGTGATGCTCAGATTCTGTTTACGTTGTCCAAGCGTCTGTCGACTGGTCCTCGCGCAGACCCCTCTGCATGTGTTTTCTCTTTCAATCATATCTCTTTGAGGCTAACACTTTTGCAGAGAAAGGTACAAAGCTGAGGGGTGTTTGCTCTACCTCACAGCCAGGAATTGGAGACTGGTTTTCCCCCAAAGCGACTCTCCTATTAAGACAATGGATCTGAGCGTTCCCGCTACTGTTACAAACTGCTAATAGGGATAGTTGCTTCCAGGTGGCCACCCCTACATTTTTCTATCTGCAGTTTCACTGAAACAGCCAAGCCCTTGGAAAGCAGCCCTGCCTGCCCTCTGCTGGAGCTCCACGGGAAACTGAAGGGGCCCGGCAAGGTTTCACGCCTCCGTGGAACCCAGCCCGCTTCTCTAGCCCTCCAAGTCCTGCCTGCCCCTGCGCCCTAATAGCTGGGCAGCTGCCTGCCAGGCCGCACCTTTCCAAGCCTCAGTGGCTGCATTCGACTGCCTTCTACCTGAAATGACCTTCTCCCTCTCTGGTCGGACACAACTTCAAGACCCTCCTCAGATATCGCCCTGTCCGTGGAGCTGACTGCAAGCCCTGCATAGCACACAGTACAAGTCCTGGCCCGCTGTGTGCTTTTGGCGACTGTGTGTTAATGCAGCGCTGCAGCCATATAGAAATGCCCAGTGTCCACGTCTCTTCTCTCCTTTACATTGAGAAACTTTCATTTTCTCACCGCAGATGTAGAAGATGCTTAATGATTACTGATCATTTGGGTAAATGATTAAGTCATAAATTGGAAGAATTAAACTTCAGAATGTAGAAGTGCTTAGTAAACTAAAAGTATGAATTAAGGTAAAAGAATATCAGAGGCAAGCGTACTTCTAAGAGGCCCTGGAAAAAGCTGGAGGCTGGTAAAAAGGATCTTTCATATTGTTCTAGCCATTGTTTCAGTGCCCCTTCACCCCATTTCTCCCAAGATTGAGGCAGCAAATCCTTCTGCAGCCACTCACCCTTGCCATCTTCTGCCACCCTGCTCTAAGCCTTGGTCCTCTCTTGTTTGTCCTGTCCCTGCTTTGGCTGGTAGGCAGGATTGGAATTACACGGTGTTGCAGAAAATATAACTGTATGCCATACGTGCATCCCCTTGGTCTTCAGCCCCTTTTCCCATGGATGGATACACAGGTCTGTTTCACCAGAATGACTTCAGAGGTTCAAGTTAGCCAATTCTGGACTCTGCTTCCTCCTCTTGTCCTTCTCTCCAATGCGACCTCAATTCTGAGAAGTCAGATAGTCACCCTGGCACTGGAGGGAGCACTGCGGAGACTGAAGCCTGAGCTTTGTGTGGGTCCCTGTGCACCCTGCCTTGGTACCCAGAGGTGCAATGGGCCCCACCATAGTGCTAATCATGCCATGGTCTCTGCCCACGAAGCTGCTCCTCTGCGGCCCAGTCTTCCCAACCTGGGCAGACCCTAGGCCACTCTTTCCATAGCACCTCCAACTTCCCGCAGGGAGCTGGACATGGCTGTGGGGACAATAGGATGTCTCCAGCCCACTGGCCCAAACATCTTCCACCACCATTTCTCTTCTGTCTCTCAGGGCCTCTCCATGGGACTGGTGATTTCTTTAGGCTAATTCGAGAGGTGGAAACATCCTTTCCTGTCTGGAATTCCCCAGAAATGATCTGTGTGTTTCCATAGCATCAGCCTATTTCCCCTCCTTCTGCAACACTCAGCCACATTCAACCCGAAAGGGAGGAGAGCATAGTCTCTCAAGCTTCTCCTTCCTGCAGTAGAAGCATTTCCTGTTTTGCCTTACTGCGGGCAGGAACTACCCTTGCATCAAATGCATCCCTTGGCTATTTCACCTGTCCCTCTGCGGAACAACCATCTCAGCCTTGTGGCCTTGCGTTCACAGAAAACAGGACTAATGCACAGGAAATGCTGCCCGGAAATGTGGTCCTGCTAACTAGTGTACCCCCTCCTAGAAGACGCCTCACCTTCCCATAAAATGAACCTAAGCTTCCCTAGGACATATGTGGCTATAGGGTGTTCTGGACATCCACAGAAGGGAGTGGGAGAAAGGTCTCAAGTTCTCTGACCCTTGGACTGCACCTCAAAGGAAAATGGCCACATTTTGGTGGGCGGGAAGGACTGTGCCAGGCAGGGCACAAGGTGAACCGCCCAGAAGCAGAACAATGCGTGATTTAGGGTGAGGTGAAGTCAGCAGGTTTCTCTCTCTGTGGAATTTGGTTCTTAGTTCGGCTCCCATGAGAGCACGGTTCCCATTAGGCCTTCACGGAGTAGGTACCAGACTCTGGGGTTAAAGATCCAGCCTAAAATGGCTCAATTTATAAGCCAAATCCTAGACATTGGCCATCAATCAGAAACAGCCACTGCGAAACTCCGGCTGTGTCCAGGGCTAAGGACGCCCTTCTGCTCCCTGGGTAGTCAGGGGTGCAGGGATCAGCGGGAGAGTGGGTCTGGGAAGCTCTTTCCCAGGGTTTCAGCTTAGGGAACTGGCATCCCCGCAGGCTGCTACTGGGCAGTTGACACCCTGTCACTCTGTCGCTTCCTCTCCCTGCAGGATGGAACTGCTCCCCTGTGGATCGCGTCGCAGATGGGCCACAGCGAAGTGGTGCGTGTGATGCTGTTGCGTGGAGCAGAGCGCGATGCTGCACGCAACGTGAGTGCCCAAGTGACAGGGCCACCAGGCCACCCGCAATGCTGTCTGCAGGGCCTGCGTGTGCGAACAGGGAGGGGTACTTGTATAGTCTGCAGCTTACCTGGGCTGCCTCTCAAATTCCACCTGCTCGGTAGTTGGAAAAGAGTCCAGTTCTCTAGAACTTAGCGGGTGGTGCTGGCTCCTTGTTCTCCACCTGGGGAGTCTGAGTTCTCTTTGACCTTGGGGACAGGGGTGTTTCAACCACCTGCACCATCTGCCTCTGGTGGCTGCAGACCCCTGCACACACACCCCCAGCTGTCCACCACACTCTGACTCTGCCTCCACTGGCCCCACAACAGCCCCTTTGGTCCACAGGAGCGAGGGGCAGCTTGGGTAGAGCCGGCCCTCACTGGCTCTAAGCTTTTTGCCTCCCTGTATCTGGCTTCTTTGCATTACCTTGGCTTATGTGACTCAGCTCCTCCCCAAGCTTGGAAGTCAGAAATCTGAAGGCACATTCGGGACCACTTTACCTGCAGTTGCCCTTATCTGTACTTCCCACCATCTCTGAATCCAGGAAGGAACAATTCCCTAATCCTACCTCTCTTATCTGAAGCCAGGAAGCCCTAATGGCAGGCCATGGCAGGGTCCTGGCTCTGCAGGGTGACGTACAGTAATGCAAGAGACTCAGAGAAAGTCAGGAAACCTTGAAAAATGATGACAAATGCTGAACATTTTTCGTGTATTCATTTGCCCTTGTATTCTCTCCAGCTGAGAAGTGTGCATTCTTTTCAGAGGCAATTTTGGATTGAGTCCTTCAACTTGGGGGTCCTGATTTTTTTTCAGTTCTTCTTACATTGTAGACAGAAGTCCTTTGTCTAAGGACAGTAGGCTAAAAATATTTTCCCCCACTCTGTAGGTTTTCTTTTCACTCTGTTGGTAATTTCTTTCCATGTGTAGAAACTTTTTAATAAGATGAGATCCCAGTTGTTGATTCTTTGATTATCTTGTTTTGAAACTCTGTATCATTGGGTGTTTTTTTTTTCCTCTTTAAAATTAAAAAAAAAAGAATGACAGAAGCTGAACGTTCTTGGATTTGAATTTGTCTTTCTTTGCCCTCTTCTGCCTCCTCCTCCCCTTTTTTTCCTCCTTCTAATTGTCTCTTTTTAAAAAACACATTTCAGGGCCGGCGAGATAGCTCAGCAGAGTGAGCATCTGCTTTGGCAAGTGTAGGGACTAGGGTTCCAGCTGTATAGGGAAGCCTGTGCCAAATACATTTAAAAAAAAAAAAAAAAAAAAAACCTTCAATTTTTCTCCCCCTTCCCCCTACAGGGTTAGATAAATTTTTAAAACAGTAAATCAAATTCAACAATAGTTTAAATCATTAAAGACAGTTAAACAGCTTTTGCTAAGTCATTAATAAGAGCAGAGGATGCCTCTTGGGACCATCAGTGCCCTAAAAATGCATGTTTGGAATTCTTATGGGGTATAAATTCCCCCCAGTGGCAGCGTTCGAAGATCATGCAGACCAGTGACGGTGACCCTTTCGGAGCTTTCAGTGATGCAGCCTGCTGTGGCCTGCGTGCCGGAGGCTTGCCGCCACTGACACAAATGGTCACGTACTGTGTCTCATCCTCTTCCGTGCAATATTAACTGCTTACTCTGTCCTGAAATGCTGCCACGTGGAGACAGTGCCGATTTTTGCCTTTTTCTGACACAAATACTTTGCTTCCATTACTCCACTGACTTTTTGTTCTGAATCAACACAAACGTGTGAATAATCAAATTTCATTTCCCGTTCTCGGCTCAGGACGGTACTACAGCGTTGCTGAAGGCCGCCAACAAGGGGTATAATGATGTGATCGAAGAGCTGCTTAAATTCTCACCCACTCTCGGTCTTCTGAAGGTAAAAACTAAAGAAAATTACACCATTCTTTAAAGGAAATAGGTTAGAAAATAAGCCCACAGTGGGACTCCCGTGAATTTTCGTATAATCCGCCTGGTTAATGTATTCTTTTTACTTTGTGTTCCTTTTTTTCTCCTTCTTCTTTTTTCTGATACTGGAACATGCTTCCAGCTTGTTGCTAAAGATACATGGCAGAAATGAGAAGATTAAAAATAAGGACAGTCTATCAGTACCTAGTTTTCCAGAAAAAATATATATATACATGTATATATATATACATATATATAATAGTAATGAAACTGGTAAATTAAAAAGTAAACTATATTGGTATCACTTGGAAGATCTGTAAAGTCAAGAAAGAACACAGTGATGGCCTTCTTTCTGCTATCCTGAGCAGCGACCCATTTGTTTACCTTAAATGAAATAAAATTAGCTTCAAATGCCTGAAAATTTAAGAACATATGACTTTACCAAGTCCTGAGTCTGCCAAAAACCAGAACCCAACAAGTCTTTGGTAAGGTTTTATCATCTTGGACCCAAACCTTTCTAAGCTGTCGCGCATGTCAGGAGCCAACACACACTCTGCCGTCGTCAGGCGCTGAATACTGTAGTCTTTGCAGGCTGCTTAGTGTCTGCTGCAGGTGCCCGACCCTGCCGTGGTCTCAGAAAAGCAGCCAGAGAAAGAAACAACAAAAGCCCAGGCCTGTGTCCCTATAACCTTTATCTGTGGACACTGGAGTCAGGAAATTTCATATTTTCACTTATTCTAAAACATTCTCCTTTTATTCTTTAACATCATTTTTAAATGCAGGAACAGCCCTTGGCTCATAGGACTGCAGAAACAGGGGGTGGCCTACATTTGACCCAAGGCCATAGCTTGCTGGCCCCCGAGTATGTATGTCCCTGCTTTCTTAAATAGAGGGTGCTACATCTTTTCTACGTAGGCACAGTGGCTTAGTAGAGTGGGGCTGTGCCCTGAGGTCTCTCAGTGTGTACAAAATCTGTTCACCCCTGAATAGCTCCAAGAACTTTTAGGCTGCCTTCTATCTGCCCTGTGTGTCTTTAGACTGCACTTTTACTGTCAGCCAATCCAGATCTGCTGGTGTCATGCACTGGTCCGCTCCCCTCTCCTGAGGAGCCCCCTCTAATCTTCCACAAACCCGGGAGCCAGAGTCATAAAGCTGCACTTGTTAAAATTGTTTGTAAAATAAGAATGTAGGGGGCCGGGGAGATGGCTCAGTGGAATAAGCGCTTCCCTGGCAAGTGCAAGGGTCTGAGTTCAATTCCCAGTTCAAAAAAAAAAAAAAAATTCTTCCCTGTAAAATAAGAGTGTATCATCTATAAAATTGAATTTTATGAACAAAAGGAAAGAGCTTTAGAAATGGACTTTGCAGTATCAAGTCTTATGTCTAACTGGTCTTTTTTTTTTTAGCTTTTGTTTTTTACAAGCCATGTTGCAAATAGGCAGAGTTGATACACTAGCTAAGATTTAGGATTGTGAAGTGTTACCAGGTTAGTGAATTTTCATTTATTACCCTTTTTTTTTTAGACAAACATTTACTTGAGAGAGACAGTATAGCAGTAATTGATTGAATTTTCATGCATATTATATACACAACCACAGAGAATGCTACTTCCCTGGAACTTTTCTCCAGGAGTGACTTCTTCCTTTTCCAAAATCCAAGTGGTTCTTATTACAAGTCACTAATAGGATACCAAGCATGCAGGTGGGTACAGCTAACAGATAAACGTACCTCCTGGAACCAGTGTTCTCCATTTAGTTACTCTTCTCCACCCCCAGATCCAGCTACATTCTGCTTTCAGCTGCTCCCTTATTTTAATAAGCATCTGTGCCACCTTTCTTAGATCAGTATCCCATCTACTAAGCCCTTCTGTGCTCAGATACAAGCTGACTCAGGACTCAGGGAAGTGGCCTCAGCCCACAGGCTTCCCCTTATGCCCTGTGACTCCACAGCGGGCAGAGTGTTTCTGGCCTGCTGGTGGACACTGGCCACATGGCTGCTCCTCCAGTCCTGCTGGAAGTGGCTCACCAAAAGTGCAAAGACTTCAAGAAAGGACAGCTTGGCACAGTGCTACTGTTTTTTCTGCAGTGAGTTCTGAGTTATCTGAGCAACCATGAAGTCCCGTGCACCCCAGGGCCTGGCTTCCAGGTTTCGTTTGCAGAGAACATTGGCAGTATTTCCACTGACCACGGCTGTGTGTCTAAGAACACCATATCGGCCAGTGATGTGACTTTGAAACTACAGGGGAAGATAAGAAAGATTAAGACTCTGACATTGCAGTCTCATCACCAAGATCGTTTATGATGAAAGCCATGCCAAGTGCTGGTGGCTGTAAGTCACTCCTGACGCCTGCTGTCATTTTCTCTTAGAACGGCACAACAGCTCTCCATGCAGCGGTGCTAAGTGGGAATATGAAAACAGTTGCCCTGCTCCTGGAAGCAGGGGCGGACCCAGCCCTGAGAAACAAGGTACTTACTTAACCTGTCTTTTATCTCCATTAGGCCCTGCTCAGAAAGACAAGGCAAGATCCTCCTAAGCCATCTCTCTGACTCTGGTCATGCTCTATGCTTAAGTTACGCATGAGAGGGACCTGCAAGGTTGCTGTCAGTGGGCTATTCTCAGGTAGCGCGCTGGGTCTCATGTCATCGGTGGCTTTCCGTTCATAGTGGAGCAGGCTCCTGGCAGGGACTGGGGAGGGATTACCATGAGGCGTAAGCAGTGATGTTCTGTCTTCAGAGATGTCCCATGTTCTGGTAGTTTATCGCCGTCCCCTTAAGTGTGTCGTTCTTCTTTTCAGAGTTGCTTGTGCTGTTTGGTGACCACTTGGGGAAATGTTGCCTTTATACTGTTACTAGGGCTGCATGCCTCAGTTATTTTTTTGTTTTGTTTTTCTCTGTTTTTGTTTTGTTTTGTTTTGTTTTGTTTTGTTTTTTTGGCAGAACCAGGGATTGAACTCAGGCCCTTGTGCTTGCCAAGCATGCATGCCTGAGTTATAACGCCAACTCTTTAAAATAGGTCATTCTAGATCCTTAGCTTACAACCAGGCTAAACTTGAAAGTCTAGGATCACACAAGAACAACTGAAAAAAGGATTGTCACAGTACTCACTTCTGTCAACATCTGCTTCAAGCTGTATTTACTTAATAAACAGGTTGTAGGGGAATTTCTGCCAAGGCCTAAATGGTTAATCACTGAAGATGGACACGGGGTTGGCATTTATTAGTAAGGAAAGGTAAGAAAAGCAATTTTCACTTTACTCTATACCCAGGTACTCTGAATTTTTATATGAACCTATTCTTGTGTCACCATTTTTAATAATAACAAAAACATGGCGACAGAGCTGTCCCTTACTGGTACAGCAGTTGCCTCGCACACATGAGACCCTGAGTTTGATTCCCAACACTGCAAACAATAAATAAATATACAGCTCTATACATATATACACATATGTATATACATATGTACCTGCATGTACAATACATACACTCTTCACACCATACAAAAACACACATGCACACACATAAGTTTGTAACATTTTGAAAAGGAAGCATTAAGAAGTGCCAGTTAAACAACAGGCCAAAGCCAAGGGTGACATTTCCCCCATTTGGCTTAGCACATAGAAGAATTAGCGCCGCACTCCTAACAGTGCGTGCTGGAAGGTGACATGCTGCTTATCTCTTCATGACATACTCAGGTTTGCATTCCATGAGCTGACCTCGCTGTGAGATAAGCCACTTGAAGTCATAACAGCCTTTTTTTCAGACTTTGTCTTTAGACCTTGTACACAGACTTCCTAGAAATCAGCCTTTGTTGATGCGGTAACCAAGATTGAATGAAGGCAGAGGGGACGTGTTAGCGCCTTCAGATAGAAACTGAAAACGCAGTACCTCCCGTGCCGCCCAGAATAGTGGGATAGGCTGGCAGGGGTAATGGTCACAGGCACTCTCCAGCCGCTGAAATGCCGGACTCTGACCCTCCCTGCAGCCACTCGAGTTTGTTTGTGGTTGTGCATGTTGTAGCCTCTTCCTGGGAAAACTCTCAGAGTCCTGGGAGTGACTCTGCCTGCCCAGAAAGGAGGAAAGGAAGCCCTCACTGTCCGTCAGCCATGAGACAAGCCAGCATTTTAATGGCAGCTCTAGAAGCAAGAGTTCTGGGATTCTAGCCTCTCCCCAAAACTCTTGAAAGGGCATTATTGGCCTTCGTTCATTCATTCAGTCAGTCAGTCAGTCAGCCAGTCAGCCAGTCAGTCAACCAGTCAGCCAGCCAGTCAGTCAGCCAGTCAGCCAGTCAGTCAACCAGTCAGCCAGCCAGTCGGTCAGCCAGCCAGTCAGCCAGTCAGTCAGTCAGTCAACCAGTCAGCCATTCAGTCATCCAGTCAGCCAGCCAGTCAGTCAGTCAGTCAGTCAGTCAGTCAGTCAGTCAGCCATTCAGTCAGCCAGTCAGCCAGTCAGCCAGCCAGCCAGCCAGTCAGTCAGTCAGCCAAAACACTGACTGACCACCTCCTAGTTTTGTGTGGGGCTTGCTGTGGTGAATAAGAGTCACATGGCCTCTGCTTCCAGGGATCTCAGAGCCTAGCATAGAATACAGACAGTTAAGCAAACAGTTGTGATACAGAGGGACAAGAACGAAAGCAGGAGAGTAACAAAGCGTGACTTGGAAGCCAGGGTGTACACTCTCCTGCTACAGGGCTCCCAAGATTTCTGCCCTGGGTCTTCATTGCACATGCCAAGGAGAAGATTAACCAATGGCGCTAAGAGCCACTCCTCCCTATACCCACCCCCAAGGGTACAGGGGCCTTGTGGTTCCCACAGTCTCAACTGAGCACTGAGAACACATCTCCTGGGAACAGTGGGGGAAGTACAGTGTAGCATCGGGGTATCAACCACACGCACATTCTGCTCCAGCTGAGGGCAGTGAGCTGGCCGCTAGGGGGAGCTGGAGCGTGAGCCACAATAACAATGAATGCGAGTGTACCAAGAAGAGACCCAGTCAGGAAAAGGGGGGTTTGACCCCAGGGTGTTAGACCTAGAAGGATGATAAATAGAAGTGTAAGGTGACTGACCAAAAATTGGCAACAAAATGTGAGACCATGAAGCCTTTTTTTAAATGGCAAAAGGTACAGAAATGCTGTGTCACTCAGCCGCTACATCAATAAGCTAGGAGACAGAGGTACAGCCCTTTAGCTCCTTCCTAACTCGCTTGCTCTCTTGCTCCTCACCAAGCACTCACCATGCACAGCCCAGTTCGTCCTGTTTTCTCTGAGACTAGATGGAGCTGTTTATCAGGAGCATCTCTCTGCGGACCCGAGGTGCTAGGCCTGTACAGCTTCTGCTCTGCAGAGACTAGCCCGGCAGGACAAGAGATTTAGCTCAGCAGCACAGCACCTATCTGGCAGGCATGAGGTCATGAGTTCAATTCCCAGAGCCAAAAGAGAAAAGAAAAGAAACTGGCCCAGTAGTAGACTTCCATCCCATAGAGGCACCTCTGGTCTACAGCGAGCATTTCCTCGCTGCCTCTGTCCAGCGCAGCAGTCCGTGGGCAGGAGTGCAGCTACAGCACACGCTGCATAGCAGACCGCTATGGCAAACTCACAGTTCCCACCAAAGAGCA